TGTTTGCAGGTAAAAGTGTAGAGTTGGAATTTATCATATTAAATGAAATAAGCCAGAACAAAAGCAAATCTGGCACATTATCTCTTCTAGGTGGAATATAGGATTTCCTGGGTGTTTGATGGGTGGAGTGCGTTGGGCATGACAACCAGTGTTGAGGACATGGAGACCTGAGAGAGTGAATGGAAATGTGCATTTATGATACTTAAACTTCTAATACTTAATTTTACTTAAATTTAAATTAAAAATACTTAAATTTACAATAACTGCTTACATACTAAAGTACTTCATTACTTAACATAGCAATCATTAAAGTTGAAACCACCATAAACGTTCAATAGCAAGTTTAAGAAACTCCCCAGCTGTTAAAATTACATTTGAAATGTAGGATGATCCTGACATAAGTTTTTATATTGCATAAGGAGAAATGTGCCATCAGTGGCTGCATGCATTAAACACAGAAATTCCAATACAAGGCTTATGTGTTTATATAAACTAAACTAACAGTAGCTACACACACACACACACACACACACATATATATATATACATATATAGATCAGTATTTTCTTTTATTCACTGAGGAATAAACGCTGAGGAATGAACATTAAGTACTTGCACTACTCATAACATGCCTTAAGATTTGGCACAGCTGATAGAGCACCAGTGAGAGGCTCTGAGTTCAAACCACAATATTGATCCTGTCTTAAAATAATTTTACTTCATTTCTGTGTAAATATTCCCAACAGATTTTATGAGTTTTGTAAGTAAATTCAGCAGAACGGAAGTGAAAAAGCCTGTTTGAAAGGATCTTAACTGAGACTGCAAGGGAGAGACACTAGAGGCAGTGAACACAGAAATGTCCTTCAAAGAGGTAGAAGAAAATGTCAATGACAAATGGAGCCATCATATTTTTTTAAAGTGTTATTCACATACCCATTCCTATATGTGTACAATTTCATATACATATATTTCAGTATTCAAATAGAGAAGCAAAAAATAAGCAGCAAAATAAGCCAAAAGCAACAAGAAGAAATAATAAATTTCAGAGATGTATAAGAAATATTAAATCTAAATATTAAATGCAGAAATATTAAATCTAAAAGCGATTATCTTGTTGAAAAATATTTGAAACTCTTGTTTCAATAAGAAATATTGTTTCAATAAGAAAAATAAGCAAAATTACAAATAGATAAATACAAGGATAAATATTCTATATCATACTATGGGAATACGAAATGTTTAATTCATTTATATTATTTCTTGGACCATGGAAAAATATAAAATAGATTAAAGAAGAAATATATAGCTAATACAATTAACATCTGATTAAATACTTGACCTATAAAATAATAATTCAAATCATGAAAAACAGCTGTATTTTTAACAGTGTTTTACTAGATTTTTCAAGAAAAAATTAAAATGTACATTTAAAATCTTTCAAAGTTTATGTCATAAACCTAGACATATCCTGATAAGAAAAATCTATCAAATAAAGTATAAATTAAGAACAAAAAATGCAAAATCACTTATAAATATGGATGCAGAATCTTAGGAATGCTTGCAAATTAAACACAGCAGTAAATTAAAAGAACAATAAACCATAACCAAATAGAGTTCATCCAATGAATTTAAAATGGTTATTATATTAATATAATACATCATTTCAATAGGTCAAATATGAAGGCTCCATAAACTCACCATCAGAGATGCCCACTAATCAAATTCTAAAAGTCAACATTCATTCCTACTAAAGAACTTTTATAACCAGGGTATATTTAAAAATCTTTAACATGAAACAGAACATGTATGAAACCAACACCAACACCAACATTAAGTACTCCTTTTAAATAAGAGAAAAATTCATAAAAAGCCAATTTTATACAGATCATTCAAAATATCAATATCATATATACCATATAATATATAACACATTTGTAAAACATTTAATATCACAATAAAACATACACATAAATTTTTTGATCATCTGATAAAAAGTTTGAAATGCATACTATCTTGCTGTACCTATAAAACACTGAGAAATATTGTATAATGAAATCATAGTTTTCGTAGTCCACAATATTGGATTGTCATAGGTATCTATCATTGTTATCTTTGTTTCTGTGGAAAAATTACTCTGGCTATCCAGGCAGCTGTCCTATTTGATGAATTCTTATTAATAATATTATTATTTTACCTTAAGTAAAAGGCATAGTTGAATTGATGTTTTCTATTATATAAATTGTGTAGGCTAGTAAGAAAGCAATAAAAATTAGTCTTCCACTAGCAGTATAAATATAATAAATATGAATACACCAGCTTGCTTGTGTTTGTTTTTGTTTTGTGCCAGTTCTGGGGCCTGCACTGTGCCTGACTGTTCTAGGCACTGTCCCTGAGCTTCTCTGATCAAGGTTAGCATTCTCTCCTTTGAATCACAGCCTCACTTCTGGCTCTTTGGTGGTTAGTTAGAGATGAGTGTCACAGACTTTCCTGCCTGGGCTGGCTTCAAATGAATCCAGTTATTTACAGAAGGCGAAGATTTTTAAAACATCTATTTCTGTATATCTATTTCATTGCTCAATGAAATATAAGTGGCAAATATTTCTAAAATTTATAATGTTTCTACTATTTAACTAGTTATAAATTATAAATAATTACAGATGAATGATTATTTTATCACAGAAAAATTAATTTCATATAAAATTTTTTAAAACAATTCCTGATGAAGGAAAGAATAATCTTATCAAAAATTCCTATGTTTATACATAACAAATTTAATCTCAACAGTTTTTAAAGTGCATAATCAGTTTTAAGAAGCTTCTGGTTTACCAAAGCTATTTTTTATATAAAAAGAGAAAAAGCCAGGTGCAGGTGGCTCACACCTGTAATCCTAGCTACTTAGAAGGCTGAGATCAGAGGATTATGGTTCTAAACTGGCCCAGGCAGAAAAATTCCCCCTGAGACTCTTATCTCCAATTAACCACTCAAAAACCAGAAGTGGTGCTGTGGCTCAAGTGGTAGAGCACTAATGAGCCTTTCTTGAGCACAAAGAGACTCAGGGACAGCACCCAAGCCCTGAATTTAAGCCACACAACTGATAAGAGAGAGAAAGAGAGAGACACACAGAGAGACAGACAAAAAACAGAGACAAATACACAGAGAGATTTTCATAAATCTCTGGACAGTACAAATTAAGAAAAACATGTATCTTTTTAAATATGTACATCTATTCTATAGATAGATACATCTTTTTAGAGGAAGCAACATATGCTTTGAAATTTTAAAGTATTAGTTAAGTTGCACACCCAATCAGCACAAATCTTATTTTTCTGTTAAATCAGAAGTTTCAACTGCATAAAAAATTAATCCATGACACTAATGCACGTGATTGCTTTTAATTGAGTCCTTAAGATGTACTCTGAAAATGTAGCTTAATAGGTTTTTATAATGACCGAGTAACAGAGGAATTAATACCTTTAAATGCCATCATCTTTTTATCTTCACTAGAAAGTATGATAATCCCCAAACAATTTATATAACTTACAAATATTAATAACTTAATAAATGCAGGCACAATTCCTTAGCTATGACATCAAATGATGAGAAACCAGATTTGCCATTTAGAGAATATAATTTTTTAAAAGATGACAAGTTTAGTACATAATTTTTTTCTAATTGAAAATACTTTGTTTAATGGTGATATTTTCCCTGGATATTTGTACTGAAAATTTTCAGTATGATTCACAAATTGAAGCTATAACTATTTGATAACCCTATTATAAAATTTTTATTAAGCATAATATATTTTACTCATGCTAATAATGGTCTCTGACAAGGAACTAGGTGTTTTGGAAAACAACATGTGTCCTTTTCCAACTTCAAGGATTAGGTGTATTAGCACCCACTTCACTCCATTTCACCTGGCTCAACAGGTGCAGATACCACACATTACCCACCCCTAGGAATCCTTCTTTTCTTTCTTCCCTATCTCCCTTTCTTCTTTCTTTTTATTTCTTTCGTCTATTTGTTAATTACATTTCTTATTCAATAAGCATTAGTTGAGTCCTTATTATGATACAAATCTTGGGCAAATTTTCAGAAATTAAAAAAGTATATTCTGTGTCCTTAAACCTTATAGTCTAAAAAAAAGCATACAGAAATAATATAAGAATGTGAATTAAAAAAGGTCTTTTTCCTCTTTTGTAAGGTACACATGGTCGCAGGAATTGGGTATCTTTGGGGGGTTTCTTCTCTATTCTGATACTGGGAATCAAGCCAAGGATTTCTCAGAGAGTGATTTGCTACTGTGTTCCATCCAGCCTTGAGTAACCCCTCTACCTCCTTCCTCCCTTCCTCCTGCTCTCTGTCTCTCTGTCTCTGTCTCTCTCTTTCTGTCTGTTTCTCCTTTTGTGTCTTTGCTATCTTCTTATCTCCTTTATAGCAGTGAATCAGATCTGGCAGACTCATTGTCAGGAGAGATGAGTCCTAGTGGAAAATAAAAATAGTTCCAAGCATGAGAAGGAAAAAGTCAGCAAACCACATTTGACTTCAGAGCAGAGGCCAGGGCCTATGTGGACTGCTTATAAATAGATTTCAGATAGGTGACCACTAAGACCACAAGGAACTCAGCCAGAAGACCACAGGGACTGAATCTGGTCAAACATGAATGATAGAACTCAGGAACATCATTCTTGCTAGGCCAATCTGAAATCAGCTTCATCACAAAGCCATTGAAAAAACCACAAGGATATTGGTACCTTGATCACAGGCTTGCCAGTTGAGCCATGCTAAAAAGCCCAGGCTTCATTCAGAAGGTCAAACATTGAGGCTGAGATTCTAAATGGCTAATATGTTTAGCTGCTAAGTCCATTTTAATTTGCTATGCAACAGTACACACAAATATAGGCAGAAAACTGGCTAAGTGTTAGTTAATTGTTAGAAGAGAAAATTTAGTTCTTGTAGCTCAAAGGTAACAGCAGCATTAAAAATATGAAAACACTCACTTTTTTCTTTAAGTCAGATGCAATACTGGTGACTGACAATGATTCCTTCAATATCTCATTCAGCATTTCTTCACTAGTCTTCATCTCTACGCTAACATCATGTATTGATGTAGTGTAGTGAGTGTATAGATCCGAGAGTTGTTCCATTTCTTTCCTGGGAGGAAAACAGTTGATTTGATCCACATTGAAAAAGAAGTTGGCTTCTGATTTAAAATGAATCAATGGATTTTATCCCTAATACTATTTTCTCCCGTAATACTTCCCAATTCTCAAAAAGTCCTCTTAGAATCAGGATGAATAAGGAGAAAGTAATTACAAGTAGTATTTATGCTTCAAAAGGAAAAGAACTGAGAAAATTTAAAGTTTTTTTTAAAAAAGCAAATTACCTTTTAATTTTATTTTTGGAAACAGAATATGAGCACCTATGATTTAGAAATTGGCAAACACATTAATGGAAAGGCGGAGAAAATGACAGAGATAGAGATAGAGAGAGACAGATTTTTTTAATGTTAGAAATCATGACGAGAAAAGGAAAAGAGATATTTACTTTACATTTTCTTATTTTGGCTACACAGAAGATTGAACCAAAGGCTTACACCTTCGAAGCAGATGCTCTACTACTTGAGCCAAGCCTTCAGACCTTTTGGCTGTTATTTTCCAGAAAGATTATTAGGCTTTTTGCCTTGGCTAATATCAGATTGTAATCCTCATATCTCTACCTCTTCACTATTGGGATAGCAGAGGTTATCAGCATGAGCCATGGACCCATCCTTACTTGGTTTTTCCCTCAAGACTTTCAGGGTTTTTTTTTTTTTTGGTAGTATATTGGAGATAAGAGTCTCACACAAATTCTTGTCCTGGCTGATTTTGAATCACAATCTTCAGATCTCAGGATAAAGGGGTAGGATAATAGGCATAAACCATAATGTCCCTGGCTTGGATGCTTGTTTTTAAACTACCCTTTCCTGGGCTTGCATGAAGCTTGAGATCCTTTTGCATCTGTTCTTGCCTGGGTGAAATTACAGGCACAGGACACCTCCCATGCCTGTCTTTAAAATTGTTATTTTCATAAGCTTTCAGAAAATAATACAGATAACTCCAAATTGTTGTCAGATTAAGTCTAGAAAATATTTTACTTATTTTGAAACATCTCTTTTTAACTATTGCTTCCATAAAATAATGAATTTCATTATGACATATATGTATATAGTGTACTTTAATCATATTTTTACATGCCCATTTTCCTCTCTTGTTCCTCTCCTGTCTCTCACAGGAATCCTTCTACTTCCCAAATAGTTCTCCTTCTATTATTACATCTTTTTTGTTGTGCACCTAGCACATGAGAGAAAATATGTAATAAAATCTTGCAAATCAATGTGGAAGCAAAGTGTGTTGAATAAAGTAACAGAAATTTTAACTTGGAAATTCTCAATAAAATCAATATCAATTGACAATAGATATATAATTTATATATAATATTCTTGTTCAATTGAGTTGGGTTCTTAAGCACAAACTGATTATGAGTAGACTTGACAAAATGGAGTCACAATTGCACTACAGAAATGAAAACCAAAGAAACAAATGAGCTAAAACAAGATTCTCTGTCTTTCCATATCTGGAAGGAACATGAAGTATAGGGAAACACAGCATGACTTCTCAGAATTTTAGAAGCTAGGGAGTCAGTGAGAAAAAGGTCATCTCAGCCTTGAAAATTAATCTGTTGCTTTGGTTCTGTTTACTCATTTAAGACTAATCTTTCTGTAAGTGACATCTTTGCCTTTTGTCTTGAAAGTATATTGTAGAATTGTTAGAATTTTAGAGTTGACAACTCAGTCCCTAGCATCAAGCAGTGGAGTCTAATTTAGCTCTGTTATCATCATTTCCTGATGAAGTTAATGTTATCAACTTCTAGTTTTTTGAGGATTTATTTTTTTCTGGGTTATGGGACTTGAACATAGGGCCTGGGTGCTGTATGTGAGCTTTTTCATTTAAGGTTAGTGCTCCACTGCTTTGAGCCACAACACCACTTCCAGTTTTCTGATGGTTAATAAGAGATAAGAAATGAGGACACAGCTGAATAAGGAAAGCAACTCCTTTTGTAAGAGCCCCACAAAAAATAAAATACCTAGGAATTAACTTACCTAAAAAGCTGAAGGACCTCTATGATGAAAACTTTAAAAACCTGAGAAAGGAAATTAAAGCAGAACTTAGGAAGTGGAAAATCTTCCCGTGCTCCTGGATAGAGAGGACTAACATCATGAAAATGGCAACACTGCCAAAGGCTACCTACAAATTCAATGCAATACCAAGCAATATTTCAACCACATTCTTCAATGAAATAGAAAAATAATCCAAAATTTCATATGGAACAATAAAAGACCCTGAATAGAAAAAAAATCCATAGTAGAAAGAACAATGCTGGAGAAATATCAATTCTAAATTTGAAACTCTACTACAAAGCCATAGTAATCAAAACAGGGTGGTACTGGCACAAGAACTGACCTGAAGACCAATGGAATAGAACTGAAGACCAGAAATGAACCCACAGACCTATAGCCATCTAATCTTTGATAAGGTAGTAAAAAAAATAGAATGGAAGAAAGACAGCCTCTTCAGTAACTGGTGCTGGCAAAATTGGTTAAACACCTGTAGAAAATTAAATGTAAGTCCTTATATATCACCCATATATCACCCTGTACCAGAATCACCTCCAAATGTATCAAAGACCTTGAAATCAAAGTAGACGCCCTGAAAACACCACAGGAAAGAATAGGAGAAATTCTAGGGATCGTTGGCACAGGCCCAACTTTTCTTAAAAAAGACCCAGAAACACAACAAATCAAAGAAAGGTTGGACAAATAAGATTGCATAGCTAGTAAGATCAATAGAAAGCCCATGGACTGGGAGAAGATTTCATTAGCTATACAACAGACAAGGGCTTCATATCTGAAATATACTTAAAGAGATAACAGTCTACACTAGGCAAAAGAAAAACATCGCCTGATGTGGAAAAATAATTTGTATTGTCAAAGCTCATAGAATTCACAAACTGTATAGACCATGCTAATGACAATGTGCCTTGTGAAGGTTTAAATGTATTTGTGACTTTAACTAATACTGTGAAATATGTGAAATTCATGTAATCACCTAATCTCAATTTTTAAAAAAAAGTGAGAGAAGGGATGGGTTAGGAGCAATGAGTGACAATGTTGTCAGACATCTTGTATTCATACAATGCTTTGTAGAATGGAAACTTCTTTGTACAACTACTTAAAGATAATAATAAAAATTTAAATCCTCCAAAAGCAAATCCTCAAAGAAACAACCATCCCATCAACAAGTGAGGGAAAGAATTAAAGAGAGATTTCTCTGACAAGGAAATAAGAATGGCCAATAGACATATAAATAAATGCTCAACTTCTCTGGCCATAAAAGAAATGCAAATCACAACCTCACCCCCGTTAGAATGGCTATAATCAAGAGATGTAATAACAACAGATGCTGAGGATGCTCAAAAGGGAACCCCACTGCATTTTTTGGTGGGAGTGTAAACTTGTTCAACCACTCTGGAAAGCAATATGGAGGTTCCTCAAAAGACTACACATAGAGCTCCCCTATGACCCAGCAATCCCACTTTTGGGCATTTACCCAAAGGATCACAAACAAGGCTACACTAAAGCTACCAACACAACTATGTTTATCACAGCATGATTCACCATAGCTAAGATATGGAACCAACCCAGATGCACCTCAGTAGATGAGTGGATCAAGAAAATTTTGTGTGTGTGTGTGTGTGTGTGTATGTATATATATGGAATTCTATAATTCTATGCTTCCATCAGAAAGAATGATATCACTCCATTTGTTAAGAAATGGAAAGACTTGGAAAAATTATATTAATTGAAGTAAGCTTACTTCCCTTATTTGTAATAATTAATATACATATAGGAGAATCTTATCAGATGAGCTGAAAAGTTCAAAAGCTATGTATGTATGTCCATATAAGATGATGCTAAGCGAAATGAACCTTAAGATATGAACCCAAGGGGTCTGTCTTCGTTGTTTTGTTTTTGTTTTTTTGGGGTTTTTTGGGGGGGGTCCGGTCGTGGGACCTGAACTCTGGGCCTGGGCGCTGATCCTCAGCTATTCAGCTGAAGGCTAACGCTCTACCACTTGAGCCACAGCGCCACTTCCAGCTTTTTTCTTTTTTCTTATGGGGTGCTGAGGAATCAAACCTAGGGCCTCATGCATGCAAGGCAAGCGCTCTACCACTGAGCCAACTTCCCATCCCCCGTTGTTATTGTTTTAAATGTACTATGTGACTTTTTTGTTTCCTTTGTATGTTATTCCCCCTACGGTATATGGTATATCCCCTGTTGTCACTATATTTGATTTTGATACCCTGCATCTTGTATACACATTTATCTCATCTGGGGAGGGGAAGAGGAATAACAAAACACTGAAAGAAGGACACTATGACCCATTGCAACAATGAGACCCACAGGACAGTATATTGGAAATGAACTTTACAACTTCAGGGGGAATTGGGGGGTGGGAAGGAGTGTGGGCGGTGAGGGAGGGAAAGGATAGTGGGACAACAACAAGGGAAGTGTAAACAATGATTGACAAGTACTTTACTCATTGTCTTACTCATGTAACTGTAACCCCTCAGTACAGCATCTTTGCAATAAAATAAAATAAACAAGAAATAAGAATCTTGAAGAATATCCTGCCCACTTTTCTTTGAACCATGATGCTCACATCTCAGCCTCCTGAATAGCTAGGATTACAGGCATGAGTTAACAGTGTCCGGCTAGAATTTTTTTTCAGATTTGTGTGTGTGTGTGTGTGTGTGTGTGTGTGTGTGTGTGTTATCATTGTGTGTGTGTGTGTGATATCATAGTTGTCTTCACTGGTAGTTTAAATTTCATCAGTCTCCTTAATCTACTAAACTTGAATAGAGTTTGAAGAATAAAAGGGTGAATAATCGTTCTACCCACTACTTAAATTATTATAAAAGACAGAGATGAAAAAAGTGTGGCATTGCCAGTGTAAAAGATAAACAGTCTTTTCACATAGAACTCCCCTATGACCCAGCAATCCCACTTTTGGGCATTTACCCAAATGTTTACAAACAAGACCACACTAAAGCTACCAGCACAACAATGTTTATTGCAGCATTATTTACCATAGCTAAGATATGGAACCAACCCAGATGCCCCTCAGTAGATGAATGGATCAAGAAAATGTGGTATATATACACAATGGAATTCTATGCCTCCATCAGAAAGAATGGTATTGCCCCATTTGTTAGGAAATGGAAAAACTTGGAAAAAATTATATTAAGTGAAGTAAGCCAGGCCCAAAGAAACATAGGTCCCATGGTTTCCCTTATTTGCAATATCTAGTATATGTATGAGTCAAGCAGAAAAGGTCAGATAATATGATGTCAGGAAAATGAACCCTTAGATATGTATTTTAATGTTTTTTTCTTTCATGCATGTGTTTCTAACGCATTTATAAGATTATTTCTTTGTTGCTTTGTATGTCCCTCTCCCACAGTATAACCCCTGCTTTCACTATATTTGATGTAAGTATAACTTGAGGAGGAGATGGGGAAAAACCAGTTGTTTAAGGATACAGGTGGACCTGTTGCAACAATGAGAAGTACAAGTTGTCATGTCCAAAACGAGCTTTACAATGTCGGTGCGAGTGGGGGGGAAGGGGGGGAAAGAGAAGGATTGGGATTGGGGGGGAGGGGGGAGGCTGGGAAGGGATGTGAAGGGTAAACAAAACGAGGAGGCTTCAATGCTTGGTAAGAAATGTACGCATTATCCTGCCCATGCAATTGTAACCCCTCTGTACAGTATGTTCACAAATCAAATAAAAAAAAAAGAAAAAAAAGATAAACAGTCTTATAAATCCATCCTGGGCTGGCTTTGAGCCTCTGTTCTCAGATCTTAGCTTCCTGTGTAGCTAGGATGACAGATGTGAGAAACCAGGGCCCAGTATCATTAATATTTTCTTAATGCTATAAGAAGAAATATGGATAGTGCTTACTTGAAGGTCTCTATGTGTAATTGTTCATCAGCAATAGATTTTTCCATGGTTACTTTCTTTTTTTCAAGCTCCAATTTGTAGTGTTCATATTCTTTTTTAGATTCTTGGAGTTCTACATTAAGTTTATGAAGTTGCTCCAATACCTAGAAATGATAAATATCTTTGTAAATATATGTATTTTCATCGTGGCTAATTTAAAGAAATAATTTTATTAAGACATATATTTTGGATAAAAAGATCTTAACATACATTTTCTTCTCATATTATTATACTAAAGTGTTACTGCTGAGAAAACAGAGTTGATGTATAGGATTCTTTACCACTATAGACAAAAATTGTAAAGATGTATAAAAGTTAATTGTTTCAATAGCCAGGCTGGCACGTCCAAAAATAAAATCATTAAATTTTTACCTACAAAACATTGTGCACTGTTATGTATTTATTGTGTAATTAATATTTCATGGCAGAAAACATCAAAACAAACATAAAATTAATAAATTGCTTGTACTAGTACTATTAATAGCTTACAGTGTCTAAAATATTTTTCTTTCAACATCTACATTAATAAATATAAACATTATCATTTCCCTCTCCATTTCTCCCTTCTTTCTCCCTATTTATCTATTTATCCTAATCACACTATTTTTGCATCATTACATTATATGATACATATTTCATAACATCATCCATTACACAGTTTGTCACCAATCATAAGTACCTTATTTCAACAATATGTGCACAACATTTTGAGGGAAACAGAATGCAAAAATTATTATGGTAAGAAACTTATATGAAAATTGTCTAATCTTTAATATTTTCTACAAATGCATATTTTACTTTATTATCTTTAAGTATTTTCACAGAAGAGGTGCCATATAACAAACAGTTTATGAATAGAGTGAGTCTTGATCAAGGCATCTGATCAAGACACACTCTATTCATAAACATTCTCACCCCCCCTTCGACCCACTTATTGCCGTACTTTTCTTAACTTTGTATCAAAAACAATGAATTAACTGCATCATCTACCTCCTTTTGCTCTTTATTTGCCTACCTCTCTCCCCTTGGTAATCTTTGTAAAAGATTATACTATTGAGCTCTCCTTGGAGGCTATTATACTTCATTTAATTCATTTGTAATCATTTGCATATAGCCCATCCCAATGTGTTTACTTGTAGATTTATAGGTACATACTACCTACCATGAATGAATGTAGAAAACCATGAAACTTTTGTTTCTCTTGTTTTCACTTACTGCACTTAATTTTCCCAAGACTTTCCATTTGCTTACAAATGATACAATATCATTTTTCTAATGGATGAGTAGAATTCCGTTGTGTATATATACCATAATTTCTTGATCCATTCATCCATTGAGGACCATCTGAGCTGATCCATACATCGGCTATGGTGCATAGTGCTGCAATGAACATGGTTGTGCTGATGACTTTACTATAACTTTGTATTCTATTTGATAAATGCCCAGGAGTGAGATTGCTGAGTCATGAGGTAGTTCTATGTTTACTTGTCTATGTAACATGCATACTGTTTTCCAGAGTGGATGAATTAAGCATGCACTGCAATCAACACCCCTTATGGCCAGCATTTTCTGTTGTTTACTTTCTTGATAATGACCATCAGAACTGAAGTAAGGTGAAATCTCAGTGTTGTTTAGATTTGTATTTCTGTTAGAGTCAGAGCTATTGAGCATTGTTTCATGAGCCTATTTGCCATTCTTACTTCTGAGAAATCTGTTTTTAAGTTCTAAGTGGATTTTATCTCAGTGAGAATTTACTTTTTGAGTACTTTTGAGCTCTAAGTATATTCTAGATATTAGGCCCTTGTCTGATTTTTTTTGGGGTCTGGTAGTGGGGCCTGAACTCTGGGCCTGGGCACTGTCCCTCAGCTCTTCAGCTCAAGGCTAGCGCTCTACCACTTGAGCCACAGTGCCACTTCTGGCTTTTTTTCTTTTTGCTTATGTGGTACTGAGGAATCAAACCCAGGGCCTCAGGCATGCAAGGCAAGTGCTCTACCACTGAGCCACCTTCCCAGCCCCTGATTTTTTTTTTTTTGGTGTCAGTTCTGGGTCTTGAACTCAGGGCTTGGACTCTGTCCCTGCGGTTCTTTTGCTTCAAGGCTATCACACTACTTCTTGAGCCACAGCTCCATTTCTAGCTATTTTTTTTCATAGTTTAATGGAGATAAGAGTCTCACTGACTTCCCTTTCCAATCTGGCTTCAAACCATGATGCTCAGAGTTCCACCTCCTGAGTAGCTAAGATTCTAGGCATGAGCCACTGATGTCCAGCTCTCAAATGCATTCTTAAAAGTTCAAGGTAAGAACTTCATAAATATTGGTTTCCAAATTATTCTTCAGAAGAGCCCAACAGAATGTTAGTACAGAAGAATATTAAATGCCAAAATGCTTTTCAACATGTTTTCCTTTAAATTTATTTTTCAACTTGACCAAAACAAATGTTTCCTCCACAAATTTTATATTACAGGAAATATTTCATCTTAAAATGTCTCTCACAAAGAGGTAATGGTCTCTTTATTTTCCTCCCAGAATATACGATAGGTTGTAAAATTAATTATTACCTTAAATAGATGTACAAAGGGGTTTCAATACAACTTGTCAGTCTGAGTACAACGTATCTTGATTAGAGTCACCCTTTATCATTTACCCCTTCTATCTAACCCTACCCCACCCATTCCCTCAAGTTACCTAGTTCCATTTCCATATATTTTAATTGATTGATAAAACTGAATTAGCCCACCATTCCTCTCTCCATATACCTTAAAAACCATATACCTCAAACAAAGCATGTTTCAGCTTCCTGGTTTTCATTCCATCTGTTTTAAACTTTCTGTTACTTCTTCAAAGAAGTTATACCATGGGAATCCACCCCTATCTATACTATGCTTTAAGGAGTTTGATTGAATATATATATATATATATATATATATCCCTATATGTTTTCACGTATGTTTATAATTTATATCAAACTTCCATATAATTTAGAAAACATATATCCTTTGTCTTTCTGAGACTGACTTACTTCATTCAACATAATTTTTTCCAAGTCTATCCACTTCAACAACTAATATTTTTCCTGATGGATGAAAAAAATCACAATTTTCATAAAATGATAATATGGTAATATATTCCTACATATATTCATATATATGAATTCACATATTCACGTATATGAAATTTCTTGATCCATTCATCTATTGTTGGGTATGTTTCCATAATTTTGCTATGAGAATAGAGCAGCAATAGTCATGATGGTGCAGGTATCAAAGTTATCTGATTTGTTTCTACATCATAGTTACTTGAAATGGCGTTATCATTGCAATGATTAATACAAATGTTAGAAACTGTTGTGATATAGTTTATTATTACCTACAGGAAGTTTATTTGTATTTACCAGCTTTTGGCTCTTTTTAAAAATTTTTGTTCTGTGTCAAATGCTAGATTGCATTAATTTTTCAATTGTAAAGGTGATGTACAGAGGGGATATAGTTATATAAGTCAGATAATAAGTACATTTCTTTTGAACAGTGTCACCCTCTCCTTCATTTTCTCCCAGTTTTTCCCCTCCTGATCATCTTCCCTCCCAGGCTGTTTGTTGTTGTTGTTGTTTGCTTGTTGTTGTTTTTTTTAAGACAGGTACTCCACATACTTCAGGCTGGCCTCAAACTCTCCATCCTTCTTCACATCTCCCAAATTACTAAGTTTACATGTTTATACCCCTGAGATCTGGGTTTTGGCTTCCACACCCAAACATCTGGTGTTCATCATGAGATCTAGGGCCACTTGCCTCAACATAAAATATATGGAGGTAAATGATGGTGAAGGACTGAAAGGTTTTATTACATGGCATGGGCAGCAATAGGAACAGGGAAAGTGCACATTTCAGTCCAACTTCAGCCACCTTCAGCGAACAGACATGAGCTTAGATTAGGGGAGAAGGGGAAAGATAAGCATAATTGTTAAACAGTCCTTGTCACATAAAATCTTTAGATGTCTCTGTGTGTATTTTAGCAAATTGTGCACAATTTTTAAAAGATGATGATATTGAAGCATCTCAGCCTCATTAATTTTTTTTTCTTTTCAACAGACTGAGTTTTTAAAACAATAATGAAATTATTTTTCTTTATAGGCTAGATTGAATTGCATTATTTTACACCGTCAAATATAAGGTCTTTCATGAAGGATAAAAGTTTTTTTCATCATGGAATAGTTTCTGCTTATTGTTAAATTGTTATATGGTTAAACTGTATGTTAAACAGCAAATATTTATGTCTATATCCAGACATATGTATGTCTATATATAGACATATATATGTCTATGTATACACATATGTATTTCTATATATATTAAATATTGTTTTTCTCATTAATATGTTCTTATTTTATTTAAATGGTATTTTTATCTGTACAAAGTTTTATAGAGGGTTACAATTCATCATGTAAATTTCTTAGCACAATGTTCCTTGATTATTGTTCTCCCTAGCCCTCCCAACCCAACGCATTCCTTCTATTTTGCTAGCTTTATAGAATATACAGTGAATATTATGATTGAATTCTCTCCCTTTCTTCTCTTTATTCATCTACACCCTCACCATGATTCAAGTTACAGCTTCCTGGTACTCATTTCATTAGATTATGAGTTTTCTAAGGAATTATACTATTTTAATTCCCCCCTGCATAAACCATACTTCAGTTAAAATGTTTGTGTACATGTGCAAATCTGTTTATGTTTACTTATATTTATAAATTACAACTAACTTGCAGCTATAAGAGAAAACATGTGCCCTTTGTTTCTATATTTGACCTTAAAATGTATCAATTTAGTTTTAAATGTACACTTTTGAAATTATTTAGTTTTCTATTAAAGTAAAACTCTATATAGTTGATATAATTAAAATTTTAAATTTATTCTTTTTGTGACACATGTGCATACACTACTTTTCTCTAGTATAAGAGGATAATATAAGAGCATAGTAAATGTTAGTTAATCAGAAAAAACTCTTTCATTTATCTTCATCAACAATATATCATAAATATATTCTCCTTCAGTTCAATTATAGCACTAAAAATGTCGGGCTATTTTGCCAGTCTTTAGGTGAGTCATGACTATAATCCTAGCTACCCAGGAGACTAAAATCTAAGGATAACATTTCAAAGCCCCCTCAGGCAGAAAAGTCTGTGAGACTCTTCTCTCCAATTAGCCAGAAAAAGCCAGAAAGTGAAGATGTCCCTCAAGTGTTAGAACTCCAACACTAACAACAACAACAACAACAAAGCAAAAATCCAAACAGGAACATGAAGGCTTGATTTTATGTCCCATCACACAAAAAATATGCGAGTGGGCTGGGAAGGTGGCTCAGTGGTAGAGCACTTACCTTGCGTGCATGAGGCCGTGGGTTCGATTCCTCACACCACATAAGCAAAAAGAAAAAAGCCGGAAGTGGCTCTGTGGCTCAAGTGATAGAGCACTAGCCTTGAGCTGAAGAGCTGAGGGATAGCGCCCAGGCCCAGAGTTCAGGCCCCACGACCGGATCCCCCCCCAAAAAAGTATGCCTGTTCTGGGTGCCGGTGACTCATGCCTATAATCCTCACTACTCAGGAGGCTGAGATCAGAGAAGCCAGCCCAGGCAGGAAAGTCCTTGAAACTCTTATCTCCAATAAAATACACACAAAAAAGCCTGAAATGGCACTGTGGCTCTAATGTCAGAGTGCTAGCTTTGAGCAAAAGAAACCCAGAGACAGCACCCAGTCCCTGAGTTCAATCCCAGAACTTGAAAAAAACATGATATACATGTGTGTATATATACATATGTATGCATATATATGCTAGGCTATTTCAGTCACAAAATTTGATTAATAGATTGATTAATTTTATTAACTCTCATAGGTATAAAGGTATGCGAAATAGATATAGTTAAAATGACTACCACTAAATTATAAGGTGCATAGTTTAATAAATTGTCATCTTAACATAAATAGCAAGTCAATTTTGAAAAATGAAAACTGGAAATATGTTCCTATATATGAAATATTGTGCATAACTAAATAAGAATAGGTAAAATACATATCCCTTATTCATTTACTCATTTACCTCATCTTTTTTAATATATTTCTCCTTGAGAGCTTCATGTTCCTGCTTCTGCTTTGTTTTGAGAAGAAAAGAACCTTCAGACATTAGTTTAATATCTTCTTCAATCTTTGTATTAGCTTCTTCAAACCTATTCTTCCGTTTTGTAAGATTTTCTAATTGATGGCCTTTATCTCGAAGGTGCCATCGTAATTCTATAGTATCTTTCATATAGGCTTCATGTTCTAGATGGAGAAAGATAAGGACAAAATGAGACTTGGGTACCAAAAATATCAAGAAAGACATCTTCAAAATTAAACATAAGCTAGGTGCCGGTGGTTCATGTTTATAATCCTAGCTATTCAGAAGCCTGAGATCTTAGGATCATGGTTCAAAGCCGGCTGGGGCAGAAAAGTCCATGAGACTCTTATCTCCAATAAACTAATCAGAAGAAGCCAGAAGTGGTTCTGTGTACAGTGCTAGCCTTGAGCACAAAGAGTCTCTTTATTTCAGAGAAAATGGTTTTAACTTTTCATCATTAAGTATAATGGTGTCTGTAGGCTTGTCATATACAGCCTTTATTATATTGAGGAATGTTTCATGGATTCCTAAAGCTTTCATCATAAAGAGGTGTTGGTCTTGTTGAATGCCTTTTCTGCATCTATTGAGATGATTATGTGATTCTTGTCCTTGCTTCTACTGATGTGTTGAATTACATTATTGACTAGAGTATATTGAACTATCCCTGGAATGAATCCTATTTGATTACAATGTATATATTTTAAATTAGTTGTTGAAATTGATTGGCCAGAATTCTATTGAGAAGTTTTGCATCAATGTTCATCAAAGAAATACATCTGTAGTTCTCTTTATATATACTGTTTATAATTCAGTTATGAATTATATATATATGTACACATACACACACACATATATAGCCAGATTAAACCCAAGGCCTCATGCATGCTAGGGAAGAGTTCTACCACTTGAGTATGCCTCCAACCTACCAGGAATGTTTTGATAGGTACAGAACTAAACATTCTTTACCATTACATTATAAATTTTACCTTAGATCCTTCACTCTGTGGTCTAAAAGACAACATTTTCATTTTAAACATGTATTATTCTGTGTGACTCAGATAACTTTTTAAAGTTCTATTCCTGCTAGAATATCTTTTTACAGTAAATTTATTTCTAAATTCCCAGATGCCAGTGCATTAAGTTCTCAGCATGACACCTAAAACTCAATTTTCATATGGTTAAAAATGTGTCTAAATAATGCCAACTGTTAATTATTTTAAATTTCTAAATGTCTAATAACTAGAATTCTGTCTTCATCACAAGAAACATGTGCTATACATTTGAATGTCCCTGGGGTATCATGAATTCATGGCATTTCCAATGACAGCAAGCCCAGGTGTGCTCTGCAGAGTGGACAGAACATTACAATTAATGCCATCAGTCCAAAGTTTCCTGGTTTGTAAGAAAAATACAGTCTTTGAAATCATTCAGTTAATTGTTGTATACAGAGCTATAGTTGATTGCCTGTGCTCTTCTAAAAAAGAAAATGGCAATATTGAAAATTACCTTTCTGCACAGCTAATGGAAGTTCTTGAATTTTCCAGATAGACCAAGAGTCAATTCTCATGCTAATCCTTTTCCTTCTTGACTTTTGTTGCTTTAAAGCTAGTTCTGCTAAGGCCCGGTCAGTTTCAAGACTTTGAATGAGTTTGATAATCTCTGACAGCAATGTTTTCATTTTTTCCTTTAATTCTGGACATGTTATATCTTAAAATAGAAACACATATTCCCATGTTGGTTCCCATCCACGGGATAAGAAACCGGTGTTATTTGTATTGTATTCTTTCAAATATGTTTTATATATTATATATTTTCATGTTTATAAATATACTTATAAATTTATATATGATTATAGCTATATAATACAATTATAATGTTGATTATGGAATTTGGAGGCAGATTTTTAATCAAGGGGTTATAAGACAGAGACAGAGAGAGAAAAGAAGGAAGGAAGCAAGGAAGGAAGGAAGCAAGGAAGGAAGGAAGCAAGGAAGGAAGGAAGGAAGGAAAGGAGGGAAGGAGGGAGGAAGGAAGGAAGAAAACAGGGAGGGAGGAATGGAGGGAGGGAGGAAGAGAAGGGGGAAAGATGGAGGGAGTGAGGAAAGAAGGAGAGAATGGAAGAAAATAAAGGAAGAAAGAAGGAAGGAAGGAAGGAAGGAAAGGAGGAAGGAAAGGAAGGAAGAAATGGAGGGAAAGAAATAAAGAGAAAGAAAGAAGAAAGAAAGAAAAAAGAAAAGAAAAAGCAAGCAAGAGAAAGAAAGAAAGAGAGAGAAAAGAAAGAAAGAAAGACAGAAAGAAAGAAAGAATGAACGAAAGAAAGAAAGAAAGAAAGAAAGAACGAAAGAAAGAAAGAAAGAAAAAGAGAAGGGAGGGAGGGAGGGAGAGAAACAATTTCACTGGCCACATCTGAATGCTCCATGATGATACAGGATTACTAGCTACCCAACTGGACAGATAAAGGATAATGCACTGATGGTTACAAAAAGCTCCATTCAACAGCTCTGAAATACAGTTAGTAAGAATCATCATACAGAAAAACTTAGACTAGCATCTGGCACTTAATGGTCATTGTAAGTACTTGGGGGATAGATGCTTTAAATGATACAGGGGACTTATGTCTATTCAGTACTCAACAGAATTAGGACTCATAAGCATAATTACAGTGAAATTTAGAAAGAAATTAAGTGAAAACTCAATATGCGATGACTATAATCACTTTAGCTAAGTACAAAGAACAAATTCACCTTTGTCTTTTGGTTTGCACACTTTCACTGGTGTGACAATAGTCAAATCTTCCTTCAGGTCTTTTCTGGAAGCAATTCTTTCCCTATATAATAAAAGAGACAATTTGCAAAGGAAAGGTGTAGTTAAGGTGATACTTCTTCATGGAATTTTAAATGTTAGCGTATCTGGTAATCCTACTACATAGAGACTAATATAGGAAACTTCTAATGGATATTTAAATATTTAGTGGGTATTAATTGTAAATAGGATTTGCATTTAGTGATAAAAGAATTGAAACTAAAAATGTGTTACCGAAGAAGCTGGTCAGTTTTGTGTAAAGAAGAAATTGGTCTTGCTAAAAATGTTGCTATAAGAAAAAGAATTGAATTAGGAGGAGATATTCTTTAATTTCAGTTTAACAATTTCTGGGAAATCAATATGTATGACAAAGTATAAAAAGTATCATGTCAGGCTTAAATTCACAAGCTTTTACAAAATGCCTGAACTAAAATGTTATTCACCTTCTAAAGTGTCTTTCTAAATGTACAATAAAATATTTCTCACCTGCATTTCTAAACTAAGCATTTATTTAAAAAAATTTTCACTGATAGAAGTTTAAAAAATCAGATTTAATATAAAAATACTTATAATTACAAATTAATTTTTATTCAATAATTATTACAACTTATTTAAGAAAGTGATATACACACATAAAAATCATATAACGTAAGTCACATTTATCTATTCTCTTTAGAGATACAGTACTAGTATATTAAAAGGCTGATGATATCTATTAAAATAGCATCAATTTTCTTTATTTTTCAATTAATAGAAAAATTTCACATTCTCTTTTGTTACATGATATCACTTCAAACTTATTTTATAGCATTTCATCCCCTCCCCTACCAGTTTGCTCACATCTGGTGCTCTACCACTTCAGACACACACACACACACACACACACACACACACACACACTACCCCTTCAGACACACACACACACACACACACACACACACACACACACACACACACCCTCCAGGCTGGTTACATTGATGATAGTCTAGTGTATTTTTCTGCCTGGGCAGACGTCAAATGGTAGTTCTCCAAACCTCAACTTCCTGAGTATCTAGAATTACAGGCATGAGCCACTTGGCTCGTGGCTCAATTTCCTATTTCAAATAGCAACATATTATCCTTATTGTTTTGCCATTTATGTGGAAAAGCCTATTTTCTGTGATTATCTTTCTTTTAGAATGTTAATTTTCATTTTTAACTATTTTTTTAAAAATACAGTGTATTTTCTTATGTACTGAAAACTTTGAAACCCCTTCCTCCATACCTCTGTTCTAGTTCTGTTTGATGTGCCTAATATGTTTATTTCAGTGATTATATCTGTTGTGATTTGACAAGTAAATGCCTTTAAGTGCTTCCAGATCTATGATTGGTTCACTTCAAACAAAACAAAGGTAATTTTGTGTTAGCTACTCATGAGGTCATCAGACTGGTCAAAATTCTGATATACATTTCCCTGCTAAGGAGGTTGCTATTCTTCCTCTGACATTAACAATAAACATCATACATTTGGGATATTCTCTTCCAGGCCACCTCGGATAGGGATCTGAACAGCTGACTAGGAGGTAACATATGATGCTACAAGGCTTTTCCTAGGCAGAACAGCAGCATATTTAATTGAAGTTTTCTTTTAGAATTCTATTTTCTACTACATTCCAGATTTCTGCAAACATTAATTCAAACTGATTTTGCTTTCTTTTTTTGCAACTTCTCAGTTGTTTCCTGTATGAATGGAGCCTTAGAGATCCTTATTCTATCACTTTCAATCCTGATTCTAATATTAAAAAGTGCTTTAATAGTTAATGTAAACAATCCTACTTTCAATTTCCTATTCGTTTTGAAATAAAATTGATCAATTAGAGATGGTCAAAAACCTCAGTATTAAAAGGAGCAAGAACATTACTTACCATTCTTCGAGAGAAGTTTCAAACTGACAAAACAAAAGATCTTGATAAGAATTAAATTTAAAGCATATGAAAAATACAATTGGTAAAATTCACTTAAGCTTAAACTCATTCACAAAACTATCAGTTTTCTATTTCACATACCCACTGTACTTTGGTCAAGTTTTATACCCTTCATTGATGCCCAAACTTGTACATATTCTTCAAACTGCCTTACTTACCTGTAATTATTACTCCTACTTGCTATTTTTTCAACTCTCATCTATTCATTTCTAAATCGTTCATTAAGAACCAATACAAATGCTGCTAATTCCCAAAGATTTGATAAACACAAAATTATATGGAAGTTCACAAGCATTTAGTTTTCATCCTTTTCTTTGTCAGGCATTATGTCTTACAGACATGTTCTAACAATCTCAGCTCTGTAATAAGCATAAATTTCCAAAAGCACAAACACTATCTATGCAATGTTATGGTTCTCATAAGTGCTCTGAACTTAGAGGCTAAATATATACAATTTTCTTTGTCAGAGGTGACTTAGTAGCTGTTGTTGTAAGCCAGACACAAAGAAACAGGTTGGATGGTTTCCCTTATTTGTTGTAACTAGAATGTACCTGTAAATGCACAAATAAATACACTGGCTGGCAAAAGACAAAAAATATACTTGGACATGATAAATTATATAGGACTCTAGACATTCACACAGTGAGACCAAAGGAGGATATTCTTAGGAGAGGCTCACAAGGGGTCAATAGCTATGAGCATATGATCATATAAAATGATGTTGTTGAAATGAACTTCAAGAAGTTGAAAATATTTTTTTGTTAATTTGCCTTTTGTTTTGTTTTTCTCCTTTGTTGCTGTTTTTGTTTTCTGTAGCTTTTGTCTTTGTATGTAAGGACATCTGCTGTGAGAAGGGTAAAAGGGAGGGGTAAAAAGGTGAGACAAAGGGTGAACAAATGCAGCGGTGACACTCATTAGACACTATGTTGAAAATGAACTATAAAACTTGTAGGAGGTTGTTGGGAAGGAAAACTTGGGAGAAAGCAAGGGAAGAGATGCCACTTTTCAAAAGGAAATGTACTCATTACCTGATTTATATGACGGTAACCCTGCTGTACATTCACTTTACAATAACAATTTATTTTTTTTAAAGCTGTTGCTGTTGGGCCTATGAATTAACTAAAAGTTGGGCACTCAGCTCTCCACTTTGGATCTGAGCAATTTCCTGTTGCAGTCCCTTTATGATCACCTTAGGTTCCACGCAGAAAGGGATTCACCAATAAGCAACTGTGGCAAAAAGCGAAGTGACTGTGAGCTAGGCAATTCCTTTTTTGGGTAATATTGAAGAAAGCAGCCCAAATGTGCATAACATCCACTACCAGGGACAACCATGCCATACCTGTGACTGTTTTAATTCTGCTTAGCTTTCCCTCCTCCTAAGTTCAATTCATCTTTTGTAGCCCAGAGTCAATATCTGTATCTCCAAAGGTGGGTTCTAACTTTCCAAGGATGCCATGTAATAAATCTCCTTCCTATATCTTTCACCATTGCTCTTTATATAGCATGTAGTGGCAAGTGGCTAGACCTCATGTGGAATCCCAAGAGTTTGGGCCAGGGGTCTAAAAACCCAGTTTCAGCTTCAATGCTATACCAAAATCCAATTAAACACATACACACCAAAAAAGAGAACCATGGAATTATCAAATCCTTGGATATATATTTTAGAAACTACTTCCAAGTTGCACTATGAGAGCATTGAATTGATACTGAAAGCAAAGCAAAGCAAAGCAAAATACTACTTAAGGGAGACAAATGGACAAATTCTTTCAGGACAGGTTAAAGCTTCTCTGTGGAGTTCCTAAGGAATGGCGGTGTGTGAGAAGAAATAGGTGATAATCAAATAAACAATGGAAGGGCTATATAAATCTTATTTATTCTGCATCCCCAGAATGCAGGAATAAGTCTCTAATCATATTAGAGATATGTCTAAGATGTAGAAGTTGGTCAAGCATGGAAGTGTAACAAAGACTTAAACTGCTTTTGCGGAAAAGCACTGACAGCTATAAAACTAGCACACACAAAAAATTCACTTTGAATTGACATTTGCAGAAATTAGAAATCTAGTAAAAACAAACAAACAAACAAAACAAACTAGAGTGGTTAAAGGAAGATATATCAAATAAGTTGCTGCTTTGTATGATGTGAGAAACTTTTGTTAGACTTGGGACCACAATTTAACTATAAACAATGGCCCTTTTATATCTGTCTTTATTTTAAGGCATTTGCTGTGGAATACAAGAAGGGCAGAATTCATCAATAACATCTTTACAAGAAAGGATAGAGAGAGAGGAACTGCAGAGCCACCTCTGGTCAGGCCACAGCCAGACAAAAGTGACTTCTTTATTGTTCTCTTTGGAAATGACAGTGATGATTACTTCTCTAGAACCTTGCCATAATAACCAACCAGGCCATACAATGATGAGGATTGCTTAAGAATTATGCATATTCTCTTCTCCTTGCCCAAAGTCTGTTTTTATTTTAACCTAAAGTTTGTGTCTATACTCCAAAGCTTGATGTAGATGGACTGAATTGTTTTCTCTCTCTGCAGTGGCCTAGGCCATAGAATAAATCTCCTTTTTCTGCCCTTCTCCTTTACTTATCTCTTCATTTGGTATTGGGTCAAATGGCTGAACCTGATATGTGGAATTCCTGGGATATGGGTCTTGGAACAAAACTAGTTTCAGAAGCCTAGAGGAAATCAAAGCAAAGCTTAAGTAACTAATAATATTTTACAATGGGCACAAACAGGTGGCAGGTGGGTAAACAAAAACAACAGAAATTCATCCTGAAATGAAATATTTTAAGGTTGTACAAACTCAAATATAAGCTTATATAGAATGAAAAGATTCTCAACCTGATCTTTTCATTTCCTTTGTCTTCAGCTGTAGTAGGTTATAAATTCAGAGTCTGGCTAACATGGCACTCTACAGCTTGAGTAATACCTCCAGTTTTATTAACTGGCTACTTTTGGAGATAGAGTCTAGTGAAAACTTTTCTACTTGGGCTGTCCTCAAATTTCAGTCTTATGGATCTTAGCCTCCTGAGTAGGTATGCAACAAGATTTTGAAGCCCCTGCCCCAAACTCGAGGAGTTTTACTTATCAGGTCAAGCCACTTGTCCCTATATGCTTAGGAAAGAGATAAGGTGAAAGGAAAGAAAGAAGAGCTATCAATGACAGTTATGGGTAGGCAGCGCTTTACTACATCTTTCATACAGCTTTAGGGGTACAGACATTTGTCTTAGGTTAGATAGCAAGGAGTGAGGAGGGTCTGCAAAGGTCACAGGTATGTCTTAGTTGATTATTATCTCAGCCTCTCTCTCTCTCTGGAGGAGTTACAACTTTACCATTGGAGCAGAACAGGAACTAGTTGGCAACAACTGTCAAATCTGATATTCATTTTTAATTGCATTAAATAAAATACTTCATTTGTTAATAATTTTAAAGACAGAAGTTGCTACTTGATGCACCTAACATTCCCATTAAGTCTGCTTTTTATTTTATACTTTCATTAGAAATTCTCACCAAACTATTATGTGTTTAAATATTACTTTTCTGAAGGAAGTTTTCATAAAACCTGCTAGCTTCAATACTGAAAGCTAAGATAAAATTAATGTCATGGTAGAAATCCCCTCTCATATCTTAAACATCTGTAGAGATAGTATGTAAGTACTGAATACCATTTCTCTTAAAGAACACTCATATCCTTGAATTTACTTTCAGTTTAGAGCATGCCATAGCTCTACCATTCAAGTCAAAATCAATCTGGAAACATATACAACATTTATCAAACAACATGCCCAATTTAATTGGTTGAGGAACAATTTCACTTCCCATGTTGACAAACAAATCAACCTCATGCAAAACTTAAGACATTAAATCCTGAATTTATTTATTGGCAAATAATTATGATTTGGAGGCAAGAAATGCGGGCAAATGAGAAGTTTTCTCAACGTGACTATGTGGCATCAGGGAAGAAGGATGTTCCAAGGAGAGAAAGGAAGAGCAACAGGTATCAAGAAAGTGGTGATGAGAGACAGTGGTCTATAACTGTTCAACTTATTTTGTCCTATTTGTACAGAGCTAATGCACTGTGTTTAGTATGTAAGGTTTTATCTACACGGGTTTGATTAAAGAAACCAGTGAGGTCTTCTCTAAACAATGAAACAAGAGGCAAGACACACACGCTCAGTTAAAGAGCCTAGAGAACCACTGGCCTCACCTCTTGCAGATGTGTAAATTTCAAGGGGCATGGCACAAATCTGAGGCAATGCTGTAGAGGAAGAGGTGCCAGCTTTTGGGAAAGCTATGGCATAGCTGTAGGCAAGTTTTGCTTGGTTTCATTTGGCTCCAGATGTTTAAGGAAGTTTTCTTTTAGGCTGAACATTCAGATAATATAGCAAAAACCTCAATGGCTATACATGAGGGAACTGGGGGTTCCACTTGGAACTGAATCTGAATGCCAGTTCAGGTGATTAGTAGCTGCGTGATTTAATGACTTGACATTTCTTGTAAATAAAGGTAAAGTTGGACTCATATAAAGACAATATAAAAATAGATTATTGAATGCCTTGAAAAGAGCAAATGTTTGGAACATCATAGCTGCTTTTTTAGGTGACTAGGATGCCTTTGGTATATCTGGAAAAGAAAACTATGATTTCAATCCTCACTAAATTTTAATTCAACGAGTATCTATTGAGTACCTACTGTGTACATGGCAATGAGCTCTGGACTAGATGTAACACTAAACCAGCCAGCCCCAGTACTGATCTTTGAGCTTCCTATTTATTCATTTGGCCCTATATATTTCTATAAGAGAGGCTCTTTTCAGGTTTTCTGAAGACAAGGCGTAAGATCATTTGTAACTTATTTTATCTCAGTGAATCTTTTAGCTGCCCATTATTCGAGATATTTAGCAGTTGCTCAACCAGTAGGAGCCCCTGGTAGGAATGCTGGAGGACACAGGCTATGATAATAGAATGTGCTCACAAGGCCCACTCCAGCCTGTGGCTTTGAATCATGTTAAGTCACTATTCCCTATATATCAATTAAGTACAGCAAGGCATTCAATCATAATCTTAGGAAGTCTAGGAGAACAAAATATAGTAACTTCTGTCATGATTTCAACTAATAGCAGCTGTCATAAAGGTTTACTAAAAGAGCTATGACTACTTTCATTTTTTAGCAACATGGGTAATTGTTAACTAGACTAGGTAAGATATGTACATCATATTTCGTTAATAAATATTCATTCTTTTCTGTTTCCTTAGAGTACTCTTCAAAATCCAGGAGCCTAACAGTCCTATAAACTGAAAAGTATTTTCCAAAGGACTATTATGATTTGGAGACAGCAATAGATGGGATAACAATAAGTAATACTGTGAAAATAATAATGGTTAAGACACCTTGAGGACATTGGATATGCTGGAGTTTATTCTCACACACTTCTTTATCTCTCTATTACCATCTAAAATCATGCAACAGACCATGATCTTAAGGGTTATATTGAAGCAGCTCTCAAAAGAGGCACCAATAATAAGTGGCCCTTAGGAAGTTCTCTGAGTCAGACCCAGTAGCCATGCTAAAGGAGAAGAAAAATCACAAGTCCTTGCATAAACTCATCCGCCAGGCAGCCTAACTATTCATTGTTTAGAAATATCATCTTCATGAAAGATAGGGTAAAGTTTGTTTTCTTATATCATTCCTAAGCCATCTTTTGAAATTATTGGCAAAAGTATTTTCAAGACTGATTTCCCTTCAGGACAATGAAGGAAAATACTGACATGTTAAAAACAAATGAACATAAAAACAGAGTGTGATGATAATGGTGATATTCTCCTTCAATGGACCTGTTAAGTATTTATTTAGAGCAAAATAACTCATTAAAAGTCAAAACTGTCCTTATATATACCAATTTACTTAGCTAATCATTTAATTAGGGTTGTAAATTCTATTTATTAGACAAGTTGGCTTATGGAAATTACTAGTTAGCATTATTGTCTCTGGAAAAGAACAAACAGATGGGGGAACATCCACTTAATAAGGTCATTTCACCCTTTTGGCATGAGACTGTCAAAAATGTCTAGTTTAGCAAATTATACATTTAAAGGAAAACTGAAACTCTACTAGTTATCAAAGAATTCAGAATAATTCCCCATGATTGTTAAACAAGACATCACTGGGCTGTAGAGAATTTACAAAAGTGTTCACATTTTTCAATAGGCCCTTACTTGTTTCAAATAATTCTGTATTTTTGACTCCACTTCTTCAATATGTGAAATCGTTTTGGTGACACATGGTGCTGGTATGTTCACTTGAGAGCAGCTGTGGCGGCGACTGGGGTAGCCAAAGAAGATGCCTTTGCTCACCTCTGAAGGTACAATAGACCGAGAAAGTATCAGCATTTAAGTACAGAGTTATATACCTTGATGATTTTAATATGTGAAAAGAAATATTCTGCTTTATTAGTATGAATAGTCTTAAATTTCTTTGATCATAAAATTACAGAATACTAACTACTTAGCAGACTGAGAAGAGGATCGCAGTTTGAAGCCAGCTGAGCAGGAAAGACTCTTCTCTCCAATTAACCACCGAAAAGCCAGAAGTGGAGCTGTGGTTCAAGTGGTAGAGTACTAAGTTTGAGCAAAAAAAGCTAAGGGACAGTATCCAGGTCCTGAGCTCAAGATTCTAATACCAGCACACACACACACACACACACACACACACACACATTCTAGAGTAAAATTTCAAAAAAGGTAAAAACCTAAAATAAACATTGAAGATGACTTAATAATATACCAAATAAAATTGAACTCAGAAAACCCAAATAAAACATTCAAAAAGATTTCAAAATTCAACATGTTTCCTAGGATTATGAATGAACACTGAAAAAAGAACATTTTTTTAAAGTGACAGGCAGTATTTAATTAATTTTTAAGGTAAATCTTTAATCCTAAAAAAAGTGATTCCAAAGCATATTTTAAATATGTCCTTCAAAGAGATCACACATCGTCCAGTATAAATAGCATTCAACCACTCATGCATTGAAAAAGTTCTTCCTTCAATCCAGAATGGGTTTCTCCTGCTGAAAAAAAAAATAAAATAAATAAAGGCAAGTAAGTCTCCTTCATCCTCATAATAACCTCATTTTCTATCTTCCATTTCTGAAAATTGGAGTCTCATGCGAAGCGTGATTGATGTTCTCACTACAGCATTCAAGCTACATTCATCATAAAATCCACTCAGTCCGATGTGCCTCAGTGACTCTAATCCTGGCATGTCCTGAATTGGTTGAAGGTTGCAGAAGCAGAGCAAAGTTGTTCATGAAACTCCACCAAAGTGCTTACTCTCAATCCTTTTGACTCCCAAGATTCTACAGGGCTGGATCATAATGGCAATCACTGATCTTAAATGGGAGACACAAAATATCTCAGTGTGTCAATGAGAACAACATAGTTTCCTCATTTCATTTGACCTCAGAGTACAGAGAAATGACTTTCTTCTTGTTTCAATGTTAGGCCACGGAGACAAGAAGCATCCTCAAGATCATTTCAATTGCATTCTTTTACATGTCTTTTAAATGTTATCTTATAGAAAGTATCCTCCTCCACAGCTACAGTCTTTATGAAAATAAGATATGTGTATCATTTATGAATAAAAGTTCATTCTACCAAATATTCTTTGGTTATATAAGTATACCATTGACCAACAATTTCATGACTCATACTGATTTTTATTTTCTCAATTAATACGAGTCAGAAGTAGGCTAAGCTAAGTACGTTGTTCTCACTCATTTCCCTCCATCCCTCCCTCCCTCCTTCCTTCCTTCCTTCCTTCCCTCCTTTCATCTTTCCTTCCTTCTTTCCTTCCTTCCTTCCTTCCTTCCTTCATTCCTTCCTTCCTTCCCTTCTTCCTTCCATCTTTCCTTCTTTCCTTCCTTCCTTCCTTCCTTCCTTCCTTCCTTCCTTCCTTCCTTCCTTCCATCTTTCCTTCTTTCCTTCCTTCCTTCCTTCCTCCCTCCCTCCCTCTTCCTTCTTTCCTTCCTTCCTTCCTTCCTTCCTTTCTTTCTTTTTCCTCCCTTCCTCATTCCTTCATTCTTTCCTTTTTTTCCTGAAACTAGGGCTTGAACTCAGGACGTCAAGCTTTCACTCGGCTTTTTTGCTCAAGGCTTTCTTTCATTCTACCACTTGAGATGCAGCTCTGTTTCTCACTTTTTGCTGACAAATCAAAGAGTCTCGTAGACTTTTCTGCCCAGGATGCACCCTCATATTTCAGCATTCTGAGTAAGCTAAGGTTATAGGCATGAACCACCGACACCTGGTTGCTTTGTTTTGTTTTCTTTCCTTCCTTTTTTGTCTTTTTTTTGGGGGGGGTGGAGCTCTTGCTGGACCACGCTGGCTCTGAACTTACTATGTAGCTCAAAGTTAAGCACATTTGATGTTATGTTTTTACATAACCCTCATAACAATCTTAGGAATGAGATTTATAGATGAAGAAATCAAGTCTTAGATAAGTCATATAATGTTCATGTCCACAGAGCTCTTTTGTGGGAGAGCTAAATTTACACTCTATCTCCCCAGTTATGAAGTGTAATCTTTACTATGAAGATTGTTTTACTATTTTTAAAGAACAGAAATATAAAGAGAAGCTGTCTTAAAATATATTACATAACACTCCCCTGCTGCTTAATTTTGAATATTTGATAAAACAGTATCACTACTGATCTGATATTCAAATGTGTTTTAGTTTGCATTGATCATATCCTAAAATCAGATATTTGTTAAGAATATATCATGTGTGATGTATTCTACCTTTCCTTTTTAATTCACCCACATACATTTTTTTAATCAATAATAGTCAAAAGGACCAAAGAACAAGCTAGTTAAAAAAATTACAAATTGATCTCTCATTCAAACATGTTGAAAGAACTTTCCCACAGGCAAGGTTTTGAGAAGGTTTCAATGCACATTTTACAAACAGGCAGATACTGTTATAATCCAAATATTTATTCTGCTTCATTAACATGTAGGGGAAAACAAATGTAGCATAGTATTGACTCATTTTATCTTTTTCTTGACTATAATTTCAGCCTTATTCTGTGAATAATTGATTTCCATAGCACCACTATGGTTTAGGATTAAGATTTTATGAATAGCCAAGTAGGGGGAACAAAATAATATGAAATTAAAACTGCACAAAAAATCTGTTCTGACATGACATAGTAAATAGGACAAGACAGAACAAGATTTTCTGAGTTGTTACTGCTGTTTGTGTTCTAGTGCAAGCACAGCATAACTTAAAGTTTTAATTTCTTTTCCAGTTTTCACAGATTTAAGGTGTCAGTATGGTATCACAAGGTCACTGCACTATATGCCCATGCTTTTTTGTTGTTTTTAACTGATAACAGCTATGCATTTTTAATTAACACTTATTCAGTGTTTAGAAATCACATTTCCCAGCTGATAAATGAATGGGTTGGTAGGATGTAGTATAAGATATTTTTGATGTAATGAATTAAGTTTTATTTGAACATAGATTTATGAAGCTCCTTATGATGTGCCCTGTGCACAAATGGTCAGAGGTTTTGAGAATTAAGCTTAGGCAGTATTTTCACTGTCCTTCAATATGTCCTTGAGTCCAGCTTCCTGTCTGAGAATCACTGAACAAAAACTGAGATCCTCCTGGCTCTAAGCCAGAGATGAGTTTTTGTTGAGACTGAAACATGAAACTTCCTTTTGAGAAAATACCATGACACAGTTGATTATACGAGATAATGAAACAGAAATATAGTTTATAAATTTAACTCACTTTGCTCAATGAATTTCTCATATAATTCATTCACTGAGTCCCAGTAATTTAACATCTTATCACTACTTTTCTTCCCTTCATAATGTATATTGTTTTTGTACACATCACACCATTTATTTTATTATTCTTCACCATCGTGTTCTTAGAAACAATATGTTTCACCAAGTTGTGCCTTTTGGGAACCTTGATTTTCTTTCAAATTGAAAAATAGTGGTCTTGGTTCTAGAAATAATGTATTCTCCATTCGAAGCCTCTGTTGTGATGCACAGAACGTATTTTGTTTGTTTTTTTTTAATGGAAACAAAGATCACTTCATTTTAATAGGGGATGGATTAAATCTCTCTCAGTGCTCTTGGAATAATTGTATTTCCACCTTATCTTACATTGTTGAGGTCAGTTATCACTGAACATTCAGAACAATATGAACAAAAACTAAAGAGGACTAACTCTCTACCCATATCTCTTTTGTAGACAGTAATGGTCCTACTGCTTAATAAGATTTATGAATGAAGTTTCCATAAACTGGGGAGAATACATGCCAGAAAACATGAGGAGAGAAACTGAGGAAATTATTCATAAAACTTTCCATCTCTACACATAGTTGCCCTCTTTAATGTCTGTAAACCGTCAATGGAAAATAAACAGGGGATCGGATCAGTGCAAAACAGCACTGAGTGGTGGAAACATCTGGAATTCTCAGAGCAGGAACTAAAGAAAACAAAGAAGAGAAAGGAAGGGTCCAAAAACCAAGATGGAGTACAATCTGATGTGAGATTTTAAAAAATTTCTGAGAAATGACTTGTACCTAGAAAATGTAGAGAAAACGTATAACTTACTATTCAAAAAATGGGCATCAGACATGAACTCTCCGTATATGACAATGTACAAATGCAAATGAAACGTCTCTAGTCATCACTAACCATGAAAAAAATGTAAATTCAATCAACAGTACAATAACACTTCCTACCCTCTATAATGTCTACAATTTGGGAGACTGTCAGGCTGCATATTAGTGAGGGTGGAAAATGGATGGGCCTGATACAGACTTTTTTGGAAAATGGGGTGATAGCTTCTTATAAAAGTTATATACACACTTAGCATGGCTGAACATTCCAATTCTACGCATTTACCCATAATAAGAAAAATATATCCATAAAGACTGTTCATAATAGTTCTACTCATAATAGTTCCAAATCACAAAACCCAAAATTTCTGCTAATGGCTAAATGGAAAAGGAAATGGCAGAATATTCATACAAGGAAATTCTAGAGTGCAATAAAAATGAGCAAAGTTCTGACATAGGCAACATCAATACAGCTCATAGACATCTCCTAATTCTTCAAAAGAAATTAAACACAAAAATACAAATGAAGTAATTATATTTGTTATTTTCTTTGTGTGTGCTGATTCCGGGGCTTGAACTACAGGCCTGCGTACTGTCCTTAAGCTTTTTTACTCAGAGCAATGGCTCTCCCACAGCTCCACATCTGGCTCTTTGGTAGTTCATTGGAGCCAAGAGATGTATAGACTTTTGTGCCCACCTAGGTGGGCACCAAAAGCCTCAAATCTCAGTTTCTGAGTAGCTAGGCTTACAGACATGAACCACCAGAATCAGAAAATCTCAATTCTCAGTTCCTGAGTAGCTAGGATTACAAACATGAGCCACCAGAATCAGAAACTCATATTTATTTTAAACTTTAGCCCTTTGAGCTTTAGTTTGTTTTTCAGACAGGTCTTGAACTTTTGCTTGGGCTATTCCTAGACTGTTATCCTCTTACCCCAACTCCTGAATATCTTGGGCCACAGGGGTGCATTGCCATTTCTTTCCTTTTTTTTTTTTTTTGGTGATAGAGTTTCTATCATTTTTTCCAGGACTGATCTGAAGGGTCAGGATCTTATCTCTGCCTACCAAGTAACAGGGATTGTAGGTTTGATCCACCTTGCCAACATCCTGCTTCTCATTCCATTCCTGCTATAAAAGTCTGAAATAGTTATATCATCTTCGAAGTTTCCATTTTTCATTCAAGTCTCAATCTACATTTCCCATAGAGACTAGGAAAGCAACAAACCTTATTTCTTTTGTAATATTTACCTATGGATCTTAAAAAGCCTATTGATTTCCTTTTATTATTTCTCTTTCTCTTTCATATCTATTGATCCTTCATAGATTAGGTCCTCTCACTACAAGTTGGAACTGTTTCCATATATCATCTTGTAGTCAAATAATTCTGCATATACACTCAGAGTTTGTCAGCCAAGGATTTAATCCTATAACATTGCTACATAAATATATTTAGGGCTAGAGCTAGGAAATACAAAAATAAGGTTTACACTTTTGATCACAAAATTCAAGATATTATTTGTAGATTTGTTAACCAAGTCTGCCCATTTCTGAAACCCTCATGTGCCTTCCCCCAAGCAATGTATCTTTTTCTTGTTCTGTTACTTTTCCTACTCTTTGTACAAATCAAGACCTCACTTTCCTTTCACATATAAATTCATGCTTTAAGATTCAGTTAAAACCTCTTTTCATCCATTAACCCTTTTCTTTATGCCTGGAGGCTATACAAATGGATCTTCCTTAAACCACTGAACATATTTCTTGTCCGAGGTATTTATTTGGCAAGGATGATCTTTGTCTTTCTGACTGTCATCTATCTAACCATTATTTTCTGTTAAACTATAAATTGTGATACATTTTTTAATTTGTCCTGCAAGATTATATACTTTTTCAGTACCTCTGTACTATAAAATAACACATGGCTATCAGTGTCTTGAATATTAATTGGTTCATAAATCATTCATTTGATATTTTAAAAACCTGGCCAAAACTAATTATGACCAGTATCTAACCACAGGCAATAAACTTTTAACCTAAGATCATAAAGTCCTATTCAAGCTTTCTCTTCACAGAAATATATGGTAATGTTAACATATTCCAATTTATTCTAATAAACTAAAATTCCCAAGTAGAAAATTTTCACAATTATAATTCATATTTTTCATAGAGTGTTCCAATAGAATGAACTGAGAAAAACAAACTGTGAATTCCTATAGATTAAATGTATGCATTTCTTGATTTTTTTTCCACCTACAAGGTTAAAAACAATTGCAGAAATGGTGTTTTAAAGAGTCTCATTAAAGGATTTGGACTATATAACTCCAATAAATTTTCTTTTAGTCCTTTGTTCTCCTAAGAGAAATCTGTGCAGTGAACTAGAAAGGTGTGGTAGCCAGTTCCTGTCAGTCCTGACATGGAAATCTAAAAATATATTTTTAAAAATTCATTTATTTCTGTAATTATATAACAAATGTAGCAAACCCCAAAATGGTTATGAACAACACATCACTGATAAAATATTATAACACATTCTTAACATTATGTGTCATGTTTATTTTTATAATATATAGGATTTATTTCTTATTAAAATATTGACATAAGAAACTTGACTATAAACATAGTTTTGTTAGTTTACTACGTGATGCAAATTTAGTTCTTACCTTCAGTATTGGTCGTTTTAGTATCAAGATTTTTAATTTTCGGGGTGGTACTAAGTAACATCCATCCATATTCTTAATAAAGAGAAAACACAAATACTTGAGTGCGCAGTTAAAACAGCCTTTTATACATAACCAACAGAGTGTATAAAGAAATTCTATAGAAAACATTCAACTCTTGTCACTGTGGCTTAATTAGTTGTAGTTAATAGTGAAAACTATTTTTGTGTATATAACAATATATAAATACCTAAATATACATAAATACATAAGTAAATATAAAAATATATAATTAATATCGTATTAGGAAAATACATTGTGATTCTGAACACAAAGATGAATTTAAAGAAATAATATTGAGACCGAATTTAAGTTACTTTTATGATATATAACTGAAAATAAGCAACAGAGGCACGGAAGGCAAAGAATTGAATAAACTATACACACACACACACACATACACACACATACATATGAATTCCTCACAAATAAGGTTCAAAAGGTAAGAGGAGTTTTAGGAGAAATTTTATGAAGACAATCTATAGTAACAACAGAATTTTTTAAAACAAATGTAAAGTAGCTGTTGAATTAATCATGTCCAGGTGTAATTATTTGCCTTTATTATTCGTTGGGTTTACTTGTAGATTTATAGGCATATTTTAATTATTACAAATGAGGGGTTAGGAGAGGATTACAAGGGCTCAATATCTATGTGCAGATGATCTTATAACATGATACTTATTGAAATGAACTTCAAGAAATGGAAGCAAGAGGGATTTTTTATTTTACTGTTTGCAGCTCCTCTCTCTTTTTCTCTCTCTCTCATTTTTATTTGTTTTATTCCCTTTGTGGCTCTTTTATATTTCTGTACCTTTGTCTTGTTTAAGTAATTTGGGGAGGGGAAAGGGAAGCACAGAAATGGCGGGACAAAGAGTGCATTAATTCCACCGTGAAACCCACTAGACACTATATTGGAAATGAGCTATACAATTTGCGGGGAAGAGGAAAAACTGGGAGAGAATGAGGGAGGGGGTGACATTATTAAAAAGGAAATGTACTCGTTACCTGACTTGTGTAACTGTAACCCCTTTGTACATCACCTTTACAGTAAATATTTTAAAATGTAAATATATATATAATAGCTACATTATTTACATACTTTCCTATATAATTAGACATATTATATATAGTATATTATATAAATGTAGAAATCATATAATATATATGAATTATATACAAAGTATGTATTATATAGCATATATTTCTATATAGATTATATTTAAAATATAATATACATGTATGTATGTATACACACACACACACACACACACACACATATGTAGTGGTTCTGAGGATTGGTTTTAAGGATTTGTGCTTGCTAGCCAGCTGCTCTACCATTTGAGCTATGCCTCCAATGTCACCAAATGACAAATGTAACTGAATAAATTTTTCATCATTTAAAATTAATAAAAATGAAAATATCCTATAAGAGCTTCTAGATCTGTTCAAAAATGGTATAACATGCAAAATGTGAATGTTCAAATACAGATAAATAATAACACTTAAAATCTGGTTTGAAAACATTAAAGATAAACACAAGAAAGAAATAATTTACAAAAATGTAAATGCGTATTTCTCAAACACCACAGACACATCCGGGTTATTCATAAACACTATCATGTGATAGTAAATGATATTGGAGTCAAATGCCTACTTTATGAACTGGTAAATATTTTACATTGTGATGATAGCTTCGGTGTCCTCCCTTGGTTTTCTACTTTACTGTCTCTGCTAATAACATGGTTCTCATATTTTCCAGTTTATTATTCCATTGGAGCTTTATTTTTATTCAAACTTTCAGTAGACCTTCCTGAAACATGCTGAAGGCTTGAAGGCCACCAGACTTCGTAGGCAAAGAAATCAAATCAATACTCTAGGCAATATTGAGTAAAAGAAGATTTTCAATGATTTTAAATTCTAAAGCAAGTAGTACCAAGGAAATTTAGCAACCAGCATTCCCCCACCCCCACCCCTGCTACAGCTAATAACTCAGTGCAAGGATTCTGGGAACAAATTTGGCATTCTCTAACAAAGTCTACATTATGAATGTCTTATATCAGTTCTGAGATTAAAATATATCGTAGAGAAATTCATTCAGGTAGAGATGTAAAGATGTTTCCAGAAACATCATTAAAAAAACTCCACACTATATATTAAGTATCCTTCAAAAGACGAAAGTATTTTTAAAAAATGGAGCATCAATGTTGTCAGTGGTATTATTGTTTAAATATTCAGAAAAATGAATGAAGCCAAGAACCAGTGGCCTATAGTCCTAGCTACTCAGGAGGCTGAGATCTGAGGATTGAGGTTCAAAGCCAGCCTGGGCAGAAAAGTCCATGAGACTCTTATCTCCAATTAGCCACCAGAAAACTGGACGTGGCCTTGAGCTGAAGAGCTGAGGGACAGCACCCAGGCCCAGAGTTCAAGCCCCAAGACTGACAAAAAAATGAATAAAATTCACCAAATACAACACTGAACAAAATAAAACAATTTGGACGTAGGTAATAAATAATAATAAAGGAAGGAAGCCTCACATATTTATTATTCCTAGGAGAACATGAAAAAACTAGAGTAAAACCTTCAGATATCTATTTATATGTAATACAAAAGTCCAGGGAAATTAGTCTACAAAGCTGGAGCTTCTGGACAGCCTGAAGTTTTGCTGAGGGGTGGGGAGGGGAAGGTAAGAAAAAAGAAATTACATATAGGATTTTGAGCCTATTACTTTTCTACAAGCATTTGTTATCTCAAATGATAATAGAACCCAAACAAGTCCCATATTAATAAACTATCAATAGAATTATTTTTAATTAAGCTGCATCCATTGATAAGATATTAGAAAGATAAAGATGGCAGCATTTTTTCACATTTGTCATTTCTCAAAGAGAATACAAGACAGAGATGGGAACTCTTAAGTGTAGTGCCATACCTGTCTGCACGAACCCTTTTACATTCTTTCGGATAGCCTTCACTTCTTCACAGGTTTTACCTACAATAGCAAGATGAAAATAGGAAAGAAAAAATGCATGAGAGGTAAGATACAGGCTTAATGAAATAAGAAAGCACCAAGTGTATCTCTTAAAGGGTACTTGCCAAGTAAAGGAAACTGGAAATTATTGTAGAAGACATTACAGCTTACCAATGTATTAATAATATTGATAGAAGTATTCTCTCTTGTTCCTTTGTTCAATGCTTACAGGAGAACTTTTATAAAGATTCCTCTGATTGTCAAGGCTATAGTATACATGAAACTTATCAAATCCAATAGCATTGTAAGATTAGTGTTGTGAAATGTTGGTGGGGATGTGGGAGAAAAGGAACTGGACTGCTCTGTTGGGAAAAATGTAAACTAGTACAGCCACTCTGGAGAGCAGTCTAGATGTTCCTCAAAGAATTAAGCATAGATCTTCCCTACAACCCAGGCATACAACTCTGGGCATCTACCCTGAATATCATGAGCCTGGATGTGATAAAGACATCTACTCATCCATGTTTATTGATGCACTATTCACAATAGCTAAGCTATGGAAACAGCCCAGATGCCCCACAATAGGTGAGTGGATCCCAAAAAATGTGGTTACCTATACAGAATGGAATTTTACACAGACATTAGCAAAAAAATAAATAATGTCATTTGCAGGAAGTGGATGGAACTAAAACAAAGTGAGGAAGCCAAGCTCAGAGAGATAAACAGAGATGTTCTCTCTGATATTCAGAAATTAGATCTAAATACACTGGATACAATAACTATACAGGATTCTATACACCCACACACAATGAGACCAAAAGAGGATACACCTAGGAGAGAAACACAAAGGCACAATGCTTGAGTGCCTCAATATACCTATATAAAATAACATACATATTGAAATGAACTCCGAGATATGGAAACAAGAGACATCTTTTTTTATTTCTATTTATTTTTCTTTATTTTTTGATTTATATATGGTGTATTCAAGTGCATTTCTTCAGAAGGGTGTGGGGAGGGAAAAAGGATGAAAAAATGCAGCAATGGAACTCAGTGGACACCGATGAAAGTGAACTATACAACTCATGGGTGGAGATGGGAGGGAAGGACTGGGAGAGAGTGGGGGAGCAGAAGACACTGTACCTGACTCATGTAATTATAACCCCTCTATATATCACCTTTATAAGAGCAATAATGTAAACTAATAAAAATTGTGTTGTGATAACATGCCAGAATTACAGTGTGGGAAGAACAAATATGATACTTGAAGAGAAAACTAAAATTATTTACACATAGTATAACTGTATCTCTAGAAAAATCCCAAATAATCAAAGTGATTAGAAAGAGCTTACAATAGATGTTGAATGAGCTTGCTTAAAACGAACAAATAGCTCTGCTACCAACAGTGGAATAAAAATATTCCAAAATAACATAATGTTATGACCCCAAAGTGCCAACTCTATGGAAGCAACATTTAATATTTATAACTAAGGTTTTAAAAATGTTTATATAAAGGTACAAAATATTAACGGGATATAAAAATGGTTAAACAAGTACATTAAACATGATACTCTTGTACATGAGGAAATTATAAAAAGTTATATTAGATCTAATTTTATCCATTTAATAACATAAAATGTTAGTAGTATTTCATGTAGAATTGAATAATTTAGTCATTTTAAACTGAGAGTAAAATTATAGCAAGTCTGAAAATTGCAGCGAATACATGCATGTATGCATTTGTAGAAGTGAGGTGGCCAAAGCCTTGTGAATATATGAATGTCATTGTGCTCAATATTATGAAGAAATCATACAGTAGACCAAACCAGTAGCTAGAAACAAAAGTATAAATTAATGAAGAGAGAACAAGAGTTATCTTTCAATACAAGAGCCAAACATTTCAATAAATGAATAGTAAAACAAATTGCAAGGCAATGTGTCAGTAAACAATGTTAGAAATATTTTAAATTTTGCACAGAAGCCTTTAAATATCAATTTACATGCAAACTACCAAATCATAATAGAGGATAGAAAGTTGTCTAAAAAAGAAATGAATACATGAAATAAATGCAATTCAACATCCATCATGCATTTTCTTCATCACCAGCATCAGCATCAATCATGGTATTTCATAAGGGAAATTTCATAAAGGAAAGTTTCCATTTAATAGCCACTGTATATTTAATACCTATCAATGTACTCCAGGCATAAATAGCAAAGTAAGTATCGACTCAATGAATGAAAGAGAGAAATTGAAGGAGAGAATCTCACCAGTGAACCAATAACCCCACTAAGGATAATTAGTTTCCACATAGATGTGAATGGTATCAGACACTTAAAAACATTGATTTGAATGAAATACTGCTCAGTAAGTAACTGGTATTCCTATGCAATAGCATGCAATGCTATGCACGTCAAGTTACCACAGCAAGGCCTCAACAAAACTCTCTTTTCAGTAAATATACCAAAATGAATCTCTGATAGATTACCAGAATTTGAAAATCTTCATATATTCTAAAACCGTAACACTCATCAGGAAATAGAACATTTGACCTTACATATTTAAATGATTTGATGTTATCTGAAAGGGACGATTTTTCCATCCTCAAATTAAGCAAATATTCAGAAAGCAAGCTTGCATAGTTGCATTTACTAAATAGGAAATATAAAGGAACAATATATGAAGGCTTCTGTTTCCATTTCTGTAAGCTAAACACTTCAAAGATGATCAGTTCATCAACAGGAAGTTTGAATAAGAGAAAATGAAATATTAAGTAAACATGAGAAAATTAAGACGGGTTAAAAATACATATACATGAATGTAAACACATAGTACATTATATATGACTATGTATGTATATATATAGTATTATTTTAATATGGTTTTTATTGTAAAAATACTGTACAGAGGGGTTACAGTTACATGAGCAAGGTAATGAGTACATTTCCTATCAAGCACTGTTACATTCTTCTTTGCTTTTACCCTACCATCCTTTCCCTCCCACCTCCACAACTACACTATCCATTCCTCCCCCCCCACCTAAATTGTAAAGTTCATTTTTCAACATATTGTCTTGTACATCTCATTGTTACAATGGGTCAACCAGTATCCCTATTTAAGCATTTTGTTTTTTTTTTCATTCCCCTCCCCAAATTAGAGAATTGTATATACAAGATGCAGGGCATCGGCATCAAATTCAGTGAAAACAGGGGTTACACCGTGGGGGGAAAATATACAAAGAAACAACAAAAAAACACACATAGCACATTATAAATACATTAGAAACAATAGAAAGAAAGAAAAAAACACTTGTGTCCCTGTCTTGGGGTTCATTTTGCTTAACATCATCTTATCTGGTCATATGTACATAGCTTTTGACCTTTACTACTTGTCCCAGACATATACTAGTTATTGTAAGTAGGGGAAACCATGGGACCTATGTTTCTTTGGGCCTGGCTTACTTCACTTAATATAATTTTTTCCAAGTCTTTCCATTTCCTGACAAATGGGGCAATGTCATTCTTTCTGATGGAGACATAGAATTCCATTGTGTGTGTGTGTGTGTGTGTGTGTGTGTGAGTGTGTGTGTGTGTGTGTGTGTGTGTTATCACATTTTCTTGATGCATTCATCTACTGAGGGGCATCTGGGTTGTTTCCATATCTTAGCTATGGTGAATAATGCTATAACAAACACAGTTAGTTGTGCTGGTAGCTTTAGTATGGTCTTGTTTCTGATCATTTGGTTGGATGCCTAAAAGTGGGATTTCTGGGTCATAGGAGAGCTCTATGTGGAGTCTTTTGAGGAACTTCCATACTGCTTTCCAAAGTGGTTGAACAAGTCAAGGCTATTTACAAATTCAATGTGATATCTATAAATATTCCAACCTCATTCTTCAATGAAATAGAAGCAGCAATCTGAAAATTCATATGGAACAATAAAAGCAAAAATGATCCTTAACAGAAAGAATGGTGCTGGAGGAAAATCAATACCAAGTTTCAAACTACTACAAAGCCATAGTAATCAAAATAGCTTGGTATGGCACAAGAACAGACCTGAGGACCAATGGAATAGAATTGAAAACCCAGAAATGAATCCACAAACCAGTAGCCACCTAATCTTTGATAAGGAAGCTTAAAAAATAGAATAGAAGAAAGACAACCTCTTCATTAAATGGTGCTGGCAAAACTGGTTAATCACCTGTAGAAAACTAAAGCTAGATCTGGATATATTACCCTGAACCAGAATCAACTCCAAATGGATAAAAGACCTTGGAATCAAAGCAGATACTCTGAAAACATTACAGGAAGGAATAGGAGAAACCCTAGGTGTCCTTGGCACAGACCAAAATTTTCTTAATAGAGACCCAGAAACACAAAAAATCATAGAAAGGTTGGACAAATGGATTGCATGAAGCTGCAGACCTTCTTCATGGCAAAGGACATAGCTAGCAAGATAATAGAAATCCCACGGATTGGGAGAAGATCTTCACTAGCCATACAACGCACAAGGGCCTCATATCTAAAATATGTATTTTTGTAATTATGGGACTGGCAGGATTTGGGAAGGAGAAGAAGGGAAAAGATAATGCTAGCGTGTGAACAATGTTGAGTACACAGCATGTGTTGCATGAGTTGCCAATGCAACTTACTAATGGCTTTTCAACAATGAGTAAGAAGGATGAGGACAGTGAAAATAATAGAGGGTGTCAATCTGATTGAAGTAGTATGTGCATGCCCAAAACACCAAAGTAAAATTTATGTGAGCAATTTACTTAAAACTTGACCCAAACTGACGTGTAGCTCCAGTGGCTCACCCCTGGAATGCTAGCTATGCAGGACACTCATATCTGAGGATCAAAGTTCAAAGCCAGGTTGAACTTGAGCCATGCTTCCAGTCCAGCTTTTTGCTAATTACCTTTGGAAATGAAGTCTCTGGGGCATTTCCATCTGAGCTGAATTTGAACTATAACCCACCGGACTTAGCTTTCCAAAAACCTAAGATTATACACATGAACCATGG